CCCCTGTCCTCTGTCCCTGCCGGGGATGGAGCCCGCCTCTGTTCGGGTCTCAGCGTCCCTTTGGGGTGCTCCCTACAACATGAGTGTCCTTGCAGAGAATCATAGAATCACCGAAGGGACCTTGAGGATTGTTTTGTTTCACCCCTCCTGCCTTGGGCAGGGACACCTTTCACTCTCCCAGGCTGCTCCAAGCCCCTCCAGCCTGGCCTTGGGCACTTCCAGGGATGGGGCAGCCACAGCTGTTCTGGGCAACCTTTGCCAGGGTCTCACCACCCTCACAAGGAAGAATTTTTTCTAATATCCAATCTAAAGCTGTCTTCTGTCAGTGTGAAGCCATTCTTCCTTGTCCTGACACTCCAGGCCCTTGTAAATTTTCTCTCTCCATGCTTTTTGCTGGCTTCCTTCAGGTCCTGGAGGGCCACAGTTGGGTCATTTGGTCTGCACAGATATTAGGAGTTTTATAGTGGGGGTTTTTATAATGTAGGAATAGGGATTAGGACCAGAACAGCTGTACAAGGAGCTGGGTTGAATTTTAAACTTGAGTCCAAACAAAACTGTTCTGAAATCTGAACAGGCTAAATGCTGGATCCTTAGCTAATAAAAGGTGAATAATCCCAGGAGAAAGTTGATGCAGTGTAATGGATATTTACAGCCTATGCCTTGTTACAGAAGGGATGGGGGCAGTGGCCAAGCAGCCAAACATTGAGCTGCTGCTGCTGCTGAGGTGTCAGGAGTGGCTGCTGTGTTTGTTTGCTTACAGATAACAGAAATTGGTGAGATAAGCCCTGTGTGAGGAGTCAGTGCTGTTACTCAGTGGTGCAGTGAGGGGGCTGCAGCAGTTGCAGATTGAAGCCAGACAAACCAAAGCCACAAACCCTTTGTTTCTGTAAGGTTTTGATTCTTTTGCAGCCATCTGACCTCAGCCTTTCTGTGTGCATGTCTTCCAGGGAGCTGTTCTCTCCCTCCCAGAAGTACCAGCTCCTTGTGTACCATGCAGACTCCCTGTTCCACGACAAGGAGTACAGGAATGCTGTCAGCAAGTACACCATGGCCTTACAGCAGAAAAAAGCCTTAAGTAAAACCTCCAAAGTCAGGCCTTCCACTGGGAATGCTGCATCAACACCCCAGAGCCAGGTATTTGAGAATTGATAATGTGCTGCATCAAGTGATCACATTCCCCCTTGCAGTCAATGTTGCTGAGTCAATATTCACAGAATCACTGAGAGATGGAAAAGATCCCTGAGGGTGAATCCCTGCCAAGTGCATCACTGACCACATCCCTGAGCATCACCTTCACATGTCTGCTAACCACCTCAGATTGTGCATTTATCATGTAAATAAACCTAATTAGTTGGGTAATATCTGTGGTGTTTTCTAATGCAAAACTTTAAACAGTCTCCAGCATGAAATTTTTCTGTATATGTGCATCATACTTTTAATTTGAAGACAGGAACGCTGTGAGCTAGCAGTGAGCTGCATTGTTAACTTACATGCACCAAATATTTTTCAACACAGTATAAATATTTATGAGGAAACCTTATTAAAATTTTCATACCTGGTTAAAGCAACATCATATTTAAATATTTCTTCTTTGTTTCAGTGTTTACCGTCAGAAATTGAAGTGAAATACAAAATGGCTGAATGTTACACAATGCTGAAGCAAGATAAAGATGCCATTGCTATTCTTGACGGGATTCCTTCCAGGCAGAGAACTCCAAAGGTGAATTCTGGCAGGTTTTTGTCAGTGTATCTCTAGGGCAGAACATATTATGTAGGTTTAATAGCATTATGTCTTTTTCATTAGTTAAATGTTGTTTGGTAGCATCCCCTAATTTTAAATTAGCTGATTTGGACCCTTTTCTTTCAAATCATACCAATTTTGTATTTCCTCTGTTAGAAAGAATTTGAGGAAAAAAATGAGAGGAGTTAAATGTTTTGTGCATTTTTATTAACTTCTTGTGTAGTTGGAGCAGTGGCAAATCCTTGAGAGGCTGGAGACTTTGGCAAGTACAAAGTTTGCTAGTGCTCCATCTTTTAAAATCTTTTAATCCTTTTCAACAACAGTTTAGATAATGTTAAATATTTAGATCCCTTTGTGGTCTGCAGTGCCAAATCTGTGGAGTCTTTGCTTGCTGGCTCTGTTACTCAGAAGGGCTTAAAAGATTAACACATCAGATCAGTCAGCTGTGTTTCATGTTAAATTGTCCTAGAAGTGTACAGGCTTAAACTCCAGTTAATATCAGAGAGTTCTGACCAACTTGCAGAGCAGAAAAAGAAGAAAAGATTGAGAAAAGCAAACTTTTCTCAATATAGGCCAATAAATGAAGTGCTGCAGCAGAAAGCAGCTACTTGTGTTGTGAGGAGCTCAGATCATTTCTGTTCTTTGGTCAGTCATGGCTCCATTCAGAAGCTGAATGGAAACTCTCTGACTTGCTGAGCTGATTCAAACACTTCCATGGACAGAGATTCCTGGAAGGGACTGGTGAAGGGATGTGCTGATCCTTCTTGGCATTGTGTACTTGCCCATCTTTTGACTTCTTTGCTGCAAAACACAGATTTCAAGGTGCACTGTGCACCTACAAAAGAATGTAGATTTTATTTCTGTGCTCAGAGGGAAGCCACAATTTCCATTTTGTCCTCTATGGTACCTTGGAGTGTTCTCAGAAATGCAGGTGATCTTGTCTTCTGCCCAGAGCAGAGGCAGGCAGGCCTGAAGACAGAGTTGTGACCTTTCTGGGTGGTTCTTTGTCCCTCACACTCGGCTGTCCCCACGTTTCTGCTGCCTGCAGATCAACATGATGCTGGCAAACCTGTACAAGAAGGCGGGCCAGGAGCGCTCCTCGGTGACGAGCTACAAGGAGGTGCTGAGGCAGTGTCCCTTGGCCCTGGATGCCATCCTGGGTGGGTGTCTGCACTCTCAGTGCTCAGCCCTGGTAAAATTTTAATGAAGTGTAATTTTAATTACACTTCTGTAGCTGTCTTGCATTTGCATGTCATACCCGCATTATAGAAGTTGCAGCACGCCCTGTAATCAGCTGCTTGTGCTTGTCAGGGGATGGAGTTTCTGCCCCTCAGACAGTTTGTATCAAAAGCAGTTTTGGGTGGCTGAGAGTGATGTGTGAACCCCTCTAAACAGGTTTGCTGTCGCTGTCAGTGAAGGGAGCAGAAGTGGCCTCCATGACCATCAACATCATCCAGAGCATTCCCAACCTGGACTGGCTCTCAGTGTGGATCAAGGCTTACGCCTTTGTGCATACTGGAGACAACACCAGAGCAATAAACACCATTTGGTAAGAGCTGGAAGAGCATGGTGCAATCAAATAATACATAAATTCTTATCTATTGTGATATTCAAAGTGTCATTTATAAATAACAGGCATTTCTTTTCCCTTCAAGCTCTTTAGAGAAGAAGTCATTGCTGAGGGATAATGTGGACTTGCTGGGGAGCTTAGCAGATCTGTACTTCAGAGCTGGAGATAATAAAAACTCTATCCTGAAATTTGAACAAGCACAAATGCTGGATCCTTACCTCATAAAAGGTGAGTAAATCCTGAGAAAGGTTGACCTGAGGAGGAACATGCAGTGGAATATTGTATATTGTTTATCCAGCTTTCAGTTCAGAATTGACATTCAGAAGCTGCATGTCTTGAGCCCTTCTAGGTAACTGCACAGTTTAAAGAAGGTGTTTGTGGTTTTTGTGGCTTTTTTCTTGTGAATGAACTTTCTGTTTCTTGAGGATTGATCCTCCAACATGTCTCTTTAGGAATGGATGTTTATGGTTATTTATTGGCACGGGAGGGTCGGCTGGAGGATGTGGAGAACTTGGGCTGCCGGCTCTTCAACATTTCTGACCAGCATGCAGAGCCCTGGGTGGTGTCTGGGTGAGTTCTCTTTCCTTTTTCACCTCAGCTCTCCATTTGCTGAATGTGGAGGGTTACAGCTGACACAGTGTGTTGTTCTGATCCTGGGTAACTTATGTTAGCTCTCTGCAAATATCTACTGGGTTTTTTTCTGTTTAAATCTATTAGAGTTATATACCTGTGCAGTACCAACAATATATTAAATAGTAACAGTTTTAATATCTATATTAGGGGTTTCAAAATTTCTGAAGTTTTTTTCTTAACTTCAAATACAAGAAGTTCAAATACAAGAAGTTCAGAACCCCGTGAGTGCACACAGGCTCTGCAGGCAGGGTGTGTTTACAATCCCTCTCCTTTCTCTGTAGGTGTCACAGTTTCTACAGCAAACGCTACTCCCGTGCCTTGTACCTGGGAGCCAAAGCCATCCAGCTGAACAGCAACAGTGTGCAGGCTCTGCTGCTGAAGGGAGCTGCCCTGAGGAACATGGGCCGCGTGCAGGAGGCCATCATCCACTTCAGGGAGGCCATCAGGCTGGCGCCCTGCCGCCTGGACTGCTACGAGGGTGAGCCTGGCAGGGAGGGAGGTGAGGGAGTGCACAGCAGTTCTTGCCTCTGGAAGTCATTGTTACCCCAAAACCTACAGTGTGATCAGGGATCAATGCAAGAGAACATGTAGGTTTGTAAGAATGATGTTCAGAAAGGGGTTTTCTTGGTTTTTGTGTTGTTTAATCTGGAGTTAAACAAACTTTCTTCAGCAGCTCATTTTTGGATGATGACATTAACTGATGGTTAGTTCTGCTGGGAACTTTGTTTTGTTGTATTTGTTTAAATATTTAAATCTGGCTGATCTCAACAGCAGCTTCAAGTAGTGAAGAGTCCAGACGAAGTATTAATTCTCTCAGTATTGGAATTGGACAGAAACATGAGATGAGGTGTACTTAGGGTTGGAAGTTTTTTTCAGTGCCTGACCATTAATGAACACCAAGTCAATTATCTGTAGAATGAGTATGTTGACAAGCACAGATTCACTTTCTCAATTGCAATTTGTATTTGCTTATTGGAGTGTCAGCTGTTCAGCACCTGAGTGCTCCTAAGTGCAAATAACAGTGAGGGCTGAGTGCCTGTGGTGCTGGCTCAGCCCCTGAGGTGTTTGTGTGTGACCCCCCCAGGTCTCATCGAGTGTTACCTGGCATCCAACAGCATCCGTGAGGCCATGGTGATGGCAAACAACGTGTACAAAACCCTGGGGGCAAACGCACAGACCCTCACCCTGCTGGCCACAGTCTGCCTGGAGGACCCAGTCACGCAGGAGAAGGCAAAAACATTGCTGGACAAAGCTCTCACACAAAGACCTGACTACATTAAAGCTGTGGTAAAGAAAGCAGAACTTCTCAGTAAGTTCCTTTTCCCCCTGTGTTCGTTTGTTTAAAGGTACCTTTGTACATGGAAAGGTGTTCTGGAGCCACATCCATGTGGAGGATGTGACAGTGCTGGTACAGCCCAGGGGTTTAGCAGTTCTGTCCTGAAGGAAAAATCTCAGGAATTAATTGCATCCAGCAGCTATTACACTTAAAGGAATTGCAAACAAAATGTTTTGGCTTCAAAGTAGATGTATATTGGAATATGAATCCCAATATAACCAGTTAGATGGTGCCTGGGCCAGTTCTGACC